AACAATAAACACTAAGAGATGGAGGCATCAAAAAGGAGACCAGGAGGAAATGTGAAGTGAGAAAGGAAGAATACCAGAAGAGTATGGTGTTCTAAAAGCCAATCAAACAAAACATCAGTGTTGGAAATCATGAGAGCTTATTTTCCAAATTTTGTTGTATTGATAACTTAAAACTTGATATTCTAAAGAAACCTTTTAGCAAACAGAAAAAAGAATTGTGTCTTCCATTAAAAGTGATTGACTTACAGCATAGGGATGGGAAATATGAAAAAGATATAAAGAGTTTAGGTAGAACATGATTTTAAACAAAAGTGTTCATTTATGATACAAGTACACAATATAAGACATAATATTTTGTCTTTCTATCAACTGTAGCTACAGGATGCCATAAGTGAAGATGAATGACTATAGTTTAATATCAAATTCAGTGGAAATGGGGAAAATATTTGAGTCTTCATAATTTTTAAATATTTTAAAAACCTTTATAGTCTTGAGACTTGTCATAAGTGAAACAGAATTTTACAAATGATCATAACAATTTTAGAATCAGAATAAAGTTTACATATAAAATGACTTAATTGAATTCACATGATTCATTTTCGTGGGTAAAGACTAAGATTTGAGTTTTCTGATTACTGAGTATTATTTCTTACTTTAGCATACTGTCTTGAATATCTTCAATCATCTATAAGATGACTAAAAAGAGGCTTATCAATGATATCTTACATTTAAAAATAAAATTCTAAATAATTAGAGCTAGGAGAAATAAGGCTCATGAGGATTAAATTGTAAGAAGATCTTATAAGAGGGAGAAAAAGTAAGAAATGCATTTTCACATGTAAAGATAGGAGATTTTAGGAAAAAGCAATCAAGACTTTATTTATACATGTTTATATTAGTTTAATAAAACAAAAACAAACATCACAGGACTAGCAGATAATTTCGAATATGAAGACTGATAAAGATTAACATCCATTACACTAAAGACCAGATAAGATAAGGTCTTCATTCTACTATGGCATATCAGGAATAAGGATACCTCCTGATACTTTGGTATGTGCCATTTTGGGATAATGAACTTTACTACAAAGTGAACATTTATGTCAAGAAGTAGTTTAGTATATAATCGTAGTCATATGTGAATATGACTCATTGAATTTAAGTATGCCATGAAAGCTATGCTGGGTTACTTTGAAAAGTTAGAAATGACCAGGCTAACTAACCTTTCTTTTCTTTTTTCTTTTTTAATTTTGGTTCACTTTTTAAACTTTTATTTTAGGTTCAGTGGTACATGTGCAGGTTGTTATATAGGTAAACTAATGTCACAAGGGTTTGTTTCACAGACTATTTTGCCACCCGGGTACTAAGCCTAGTACCCAAGAGTTATTTTTCTGCTCCTCTCCCTCATCCCACCCTCTACCCTCAAAAAGTCCCCAGTGTCTGTTGCTCCCTTGTTTGTGTTCACAAGTTCTCATCATTTAGCTCTCACTTATAAGTGAGAACATATGGTATTTGGTTTTTCCTCTTGAATTAGTTGGCTAAGGATGATGGCCTCCAGCTTCATCCATGTTCCCACAAAAGACATGATCTCACTCTTTTTGATGGCTGCATAATGCACAGTATTCCACAGTGTATATGTACCATATTTTCCTTATTCAGTCTGTCATTCATGGGCATTTAGGTTGATTCCATGTCTTTGCTATTGTGAATGGTGTTGCAATAAACATTTATATGCATGTTTATAATAGAATGATTTATATTCCTCTAAGTATATAACCAGTAATGTGATTGTCAAGTCTAATGGTAATTAACTTTTCTTTTTAATGCCAGAATAACTGTTACATAAAATATTTCACTATACCACTGTCAAAGATAAAATCTTGTGACTAACGGGTCCATTGTCTAACCATCTAAAGCTGCACATTCACTCATTAGTCACATGTGGCTTTTGAATCCTTAAAATGTAGGCTAGTTTGACCCAGGGGCTGAAAATTTTATTTTATTTAATTTACGTTTATTTTTTCAAAGAAACATGTGGCTAATGGTTACAGTGTTAGCACTGAGAACACACCCATTATCACAGAAATGTCTATGGAACAGAGCTGACCTACAACATTTAAAAAACTTTGTGCATTCTTCTTTGTTAACAAAATTGAATCTTATTAACAGGTAAAATTAGCAAGATGGTAGATATAAGCTCAAGCTCCAAAATACTATTTGATTGTACTTAAATAATAATGAGAAAAAGTAAATAGAAAATGAACCTAAGATATTCTTCAGAATTTTCCAGAATAGGAAACATAGTGACTGTTAAACAGATGAAAAGATTTCCATTCAATTGATAGAGAAATGCAAACTAAAACTATTATAGACTGAATTGCATTCCCCAGAAATTAATAATGTTAAAGTCTCATTCCTCAGTGTGACTGCATTTGGTGATAAGCCCTTTAATGAAGTCATTTAGGTTAAATAAAGTCTTAAGCATAAAGCCCTAATCCAGTATAACTGGATTCCTTAGAAGAAGAATAAGAGACTCCAGGGATACGTGCACACAGGGAAAAAGCCATGCGATGGCATAGCAGGAAGGCAGTAGTCTCCAAGTAAAGGAGGGAGGCCTCAGGAGAAACTAAACCTGCCTACATCTTTCTGGACTTCTAACCTCCAGAACTGTGTAAAAATAAAGTTTTGTTATTGAAGCGATAGGCTCTGTAGTATTTTGTTATGGCAGCCCTAGAAAACTAGCACAAAGATCAATTGAGGTTTTATACTAACTAGATTGGCTGATCTAATTGGTGAGGCTATAGAGTCATAGGACTGCAACTTGATTCAGTAACTTTGAAAAACATTTTGGCATTATCTTTTAAAGCTGAATATTCAAATTTCCAATGATCCAGCAGTTCTAATCTTAGTTACACATGTTAAGATACATCTTACATGTGTGTAACAGGAGACATGAAAATACATGCTAATAAAATATTGTTAATAACAGATCCACAGATCCAAAACAATTCAGATAGCATCAACAAGACAATATACACATTTTTTATATTTATACATCATAGTATCATACAGTAGAAACAATGAATAAACACTAAAACAAAATAGATGTACCTTAGAAACATAATAATGTTGAGTGAAAAAAAGCAAACATAGTTACATAAAGCATGATGCCAATTGTATAAAATGCAAAAAAAATACATAATGAAAAATACAGAAAAATTAAGTGAATGCTAATATAAAATCAAGAGCAGAGTTATACTTTTTAATGCCAGAAAAAAAGAACCAGAGAAAAGCACAAAGGAAGATTCAGCAATGTTGATTCTAGTTCTTAGTTTTGGTGGTGTGTTTGACATCTGGGAGAGTATGTGTGAGTGTTTTGGTTTTGTGGTAACTGGATTATGCTAAATTTTACATTTCCTTCTTCAGTGAAATGAATTTTGTTCTCTCTTGGAAATGAAGGAGATAGCAACAACAGAATGCAGAGACATAGCTGCTGCAGCTGTACTACCCATGGAAAAGTATAAATAGCAATTTAGCAGCTAGTGATTCTGAAATTGCCCTTAACTGTGTCATTATAAAAATGCTGTAACAAATATGTTTTATAGTATGGTAACTATAGCAAATAACAATATATTGTATATTTCAAGATAGCTAGAAGATTTTAAATGTTATCCCCACAAAGAAATAATAAATGCTTAAAATGATGGATATGCCAATTACTCTAATTTGATCATTATATAATGCATATATGCATTGAAACATCACACGATACCCCATATATGTACAATTACTGTATTTGTTATAAATTTGAAAAAAAGAGAAAAGTTTACAAGTAATAAAGTTAAGAAATTCATCTGATGGATTTTCTCCCCATGCCCAAATCATTGAATAGTAAATCTAATGAAGGTACTGTGCCTAAATGTAAAGGATAATATGTAAATTATTTAAAAAATCAGTCTCAGAACTAGAAAAATTGTCAGCTACATCAGCAGTCTCAGAGTCAAGCTTTTATATCATGGATATTTCTGTCATAGACCCTGGCAAATATGTGTTCTGTGTTAGTCTTATAATTGTCCTTAGAATCATGGAGGCCTATTCATTCATTCAAAAAATTTTATGGCTCATATTTCATGTATTAGTTATGGTAATCGGTTCGAAGACTACAGAAGCCAACACACAACACAATATAAGGACAAACTTTTTTCCTTCATTCATCCATTATTCAACATGTGTCTTCATTTTGAGTATTGACTAGGAATCAAGTGCTGTGCTAAATGTATATATTAATGAGTGCATATTAATATAACTGCAAATGAGAAGACTAGCCGTTTATGATGTTACTATTGTCTTTTTCTTTTCTTGCCATAAAATGGGATGTCCCTTTGCCTCAGGTTTTGCTCTCAAATTGCAAATGAAAAGAAAATTCTCAGTGGGATGCTGATGTGCATAGATAAATGAGAACAGAGCTCCTCTTTCACATGTTCCATTCACCTCCCTTCCAACTCTCTATATGCACTCACTTTGATTGTGCCAAGACCAAGACTAGAAGTGCCCCATAGGAACCAAACCAACTTCCTCACATCATTCATTAGGACAGTTCCTCTTGTAGAAGACTAAATGTCATCATGACCCATAATTTTCATGACCTTCATAGAGGGTCATGGAGACAACCTATGAAAATAATTTTTCTTAAAAGAAAATACTGAGAGAGTTAATCTGCTGCTCCACAGGCCTAACCTCCTGGGATTAAACCACAAGCATGGAGATCACTAAGTGTACTTAGTAATAACAAGCTAAAAATAGATAAAAACATGGTGCTGTTATTGTATGAGTTTCCCTCTAAGGTTTTGTCTGATAAACATCACTACCTCCAAGGGGATTGTAAACAGGCTTTTTTGTAGGGTAGGTTAGATGCCTGTTTTTTCAGACAGTCATGCCATAACCAGTTCTCAACACACTTATTTTAAGATAATTAAATGTTTAAGATTTAGTGTTCCTACCTGATTGGAAACCTTCTTGTCTTTAATTCATTGACTATACTCGATCTCTTTTTTCTTGGAGATGACCTCCAGATTTCTATCAGAAATCGCTTCTGTGGGGAAACCAGGGCTTCTCAGAAAGTCAGGAAACTGAAATGGAAACAGTAGGAGAAAGGGAAATTATCTGTACACATAAGTTTCACTTGATAAAATTGTTAAGGAAATGTTCAAGCATCTACCTTTTGAACAGTATCATAACTGCAGGAAATTTCATGATTTACAAGTATGAATTCTCAAAAGACAAATACATGATGTGAGTATAGGTTGCATTTTGGGATTTTAAGTCAAGCAGGCTTCAAAAAAGGCCTGGTTAGCCTTTGTTAAGTGTGTGTGTGTGTGTGTGTGTGTGTGTAGTTTTTTTGTGATGGGGTGGTGGGCAATCTGTTGACTACTAGTCAGTGATTGAGAGGCCAAAAAAGACAAGTTTTCTGTCTTTTTATTTAATGTTCACTTCCATTCTTCAGTCTTCATCTAGATTTCTCTTCTGTCTTCACTTAAGATCTTCAAGAAATTAATCTGACTAAACTTAATTATTAATAAAATAAACATTGGAATTTATTGGAGGATATTTTACAGAGACTTTTAATGTCTTTTCAAGCGTTGTCACACACAAAACTATTAGAGTGTGTGTGTATAGCTTTTCTTGGGATGAGATGGTGGGAGAAAATAAATCTGTTGACTAGTAGTGATTTAGAAAGATGGACAGATTTAGAAAGATGGCTATTAGAGTAAAGTGAAGCAAACTATGCAATAAAATTCCAACACTGTGATTCCGAAACAATCATAGCAGACTTCTGGGTGACTAAGGGGTAGCCTTCTCATATTATAGTCACACCTGTTATAGACCATCTGTCCACAACTTGTATACCATCATTAATCATTCATGGAAAACAAATGACCTGATCTCTCTTTCCATCCACTTCTTGACCATTCTCATATACATTTTTTTCTGTCTTTAACGTCATACCCTTTTCCATCTATTTGAAAACAGGGATATAGGAGGAGCAACACACAATAAGCCAGCCCTCTGCATCTGTACGGTGACGGCCCTGAAAGGAACACTGGCCTATTAGGAAACTAGAAGTGGTTTGGGATTGTCTTTGACTGATTTCCCTCAGAAGCAGAGCCTGAGAGAAGAATTTGAATTCGAACTGTTCCTGGACGGTGATCAAGGAAACTCAGGAGTAGAATGGGTACTGAGAATAGAGACATGGAAGAAAGCCACGAGTGGTACAGCACTGAACAGGTTACTCGAGGAAAACTGTTACAAGTCTCTCAGAGAAGTCCTGTGAAGCACTGCAGAACATTCCCTAGAGTTATCCCTATCAGTGGGCGAGGAAGCTGATGTGTTTATATTCCAAATCCCCTCTGTCATGGACTGAAAGTTTCAACCAGATACATTGTCTCCTGCACACTTCTGGCCTACCCTATGGAGATATTTGCAGATGATGGCACAATTCTATCAATATACACTGGAATGCCAAGTACTAGGGAGATGTAGGTGGGCCTCTGACCACGTCGCATACAGTGGCGGGGGGGGTATCAAAAGTTATCCTGTAAATCCGAATCAATAAGCTTTGGTTGACAGTTTTCTTTTAAGGTAGTTAAATACTAATGTACTGATAACAATTTCCTCTACGAAATCAAATCAAAGATCCTAAGTTAATCTCCTGGAAAACTGTTAGTATCTTTGATATGGTCCTAGTTAAAAAAAAAAAAAAAGAGGAAAAATTAAGATTTCAAGTTGATTATTCACTCACTCATTTAATACTCACTGAACACCTAATGTATGCTAAGGATTAAGCTAGACATCAGTGTAACCGTTATTAAAATCATTATCTTACCATCAAGAATTTACTTTTTTGGGGCATCCAGATAGTACAAATTATTACATAGTGCTATGGAAGAGAGAGAGAGTCTTAATTCATTCTGTGGACCAACAATAAGTGAGGAATATTAGCAGGTCTTCCTACAGAAGCCAGTACTGGAGATTGATATGTAATGTGAAGGAGAGGTAAATTTTTGAGTCAAAGAGAAGACAAATTCACAGGAGAGACAAAAAGAATGGTTAAGGAGCAGAAAAGAAAGAAATGCCATATACAACTGGTATAGTGTTTAGAGGGGTGTAAAAAAAGAAGACAATAGAGAGCACGGTAGCAGCCAGATAAAGAATGGTTTGTGTATGCATGATAAGAATGTGGAATTTAATTCTAAGGAAGATGGAAGATACTGAGTGATTTTAACAGCAAAGTTCAAGTTAGAAAGAGAAGAAGATAGGCCAGGCGCGGTGGCTCATGCCTATAATCCCAGCACTTTGGGAGGCCAAGACGGGTGGATCACGAGGTTAAGAGATCGAGACCATCCTGGTCAACATGGTGAAACCCCATCTCTACTAAAAATACAAAAATTAGCTGGGCATGGTGGTGCACGCCTGTGGTCCCAGCTACTCGGGAGGCTGAGGCAGAAGAATTGCTTGAACCCAGGAGACAGAGGTTGCGGTGAGCCGAGATCGCGCCATTGCACTCCAGCCTGGGTAACAAGAGCGAAACTCCGTCTCAAAAAAAAAAAAAAAAAAAAAAAGAGAAAGAGAAGAAGATAGAAAGGTTTATTTGCGTAACATGATCAGATGTTGTTTGTTTTAGAAAGGTCCCTTTGGAAATACTGGGACTTGATTGTTGGAGAAGGGTAGTTGCAATCCTAGACACAGAAAGATTAGTTAATAGTCCATTAATATAAACCAAAGAAGAAACTGGGTATGAGGTTCATGTATGGCAGTTCCTTGCTTTCAGTACTTGAGAAATGTTATGCCAATACTTCTGACATCCATAGTTTCAGATCTGAAATCTGCTGTCCTTTGAATTGGTGTTTCTCTATAAGTAATGCATTGTTTCTCTCTGTCTGTTTATCAGAATATTTTTCTTTCTTTTTCAGAAGTTCAATTATGATGTACCTTGACATGGATATCTTTGTGTTTACCCTAATTGAGGTTTTCTTACGTTATTGAACCTGTATGTTTATGTCTTTTACCAGTTTGGGGAACTGTTCTGTCATTTCTTCAACTAATGTTTTCATCTCACTGGCTCTGTTTTCATTCTGGGATTTTAATGACATGGATGTCAGCTTTTTATTTTTTGTTTCAAAGGTTTCTGAGATCCTGCCCACTTCTACACTATGCCTATTTTTCCCTCTGTTTTTCAGATTTGGTAAATTCTGTTGATCTGTTCTTCAGATCACTTAGCCTATGATTTGTCATTTCAACTCTACTATGGATCCTGCCCAACAAAGGTTTTTATTTTGGTTATTATATTTTTCAGCTCTGTCATTTTCACTTGGTTTTATTTTATAACATCTATTTTATTGCTTACACTTTCTATTTTTTCATTTATTTCGAGAAATACATAATTACTTTTTGAAACATTTATGTGATATATTTAAAATCCTTGTCAGATAATTTCAACAACTGATTTATCTCAGTGTTGGTGTGTGCTGACTGTAATTATTTTTTTTTTTCATTCATTTTGTGATTTCCTGGTTCTTGGTATGATGAGTAGTTTTCAATTGTATTGTGAATATTATGTGTTATATGACTCTGGATCTTATTTTATCTTATTATTATTTTTAGCAGGAAGTTCCCCTATGTTGGGGTGTAGCATGAGGGCTTCAAGGGTGGGAATGTAGAGGTTCCACTGGGCCTGGCTGGCACCACACTGGCAACAGAGGGATACTGACTCACACGGCCCTACTGCAGATAAATGAGGTGAAGTTTAGCTCCCTCTTTGGCCTTGCTGACACCTTCCCAAGGAAAGTAAGACCATTCATATCAGGTTGTTGCCTTCAAATGGGAATGGAGGCTCAGTACTCTAACAGGCCCCCTGAACTGGTGAGACGAAAATGAAGGGTCAACTTTTCTTCTTCGCACTACCTTATTCTATCCTATTGGTGTTAGGTGTGTGCAGGTGCCCAGTTCCTCACTGGTCTCCCTGCCCCCAGGTTTTGAAGGAAAGTGCAATGCCTCCTGCCCCCAACTTGCAATATCCTGTTGCTGATGTCAATAGAGGTGAAGGCTAAGCTCCTCACTGGACCTCATGGCTGTGTACAGGGAGTCCATTTGTAATTAGCCCTGTCTGGCATGATCTCCTTAAGTCTCCTTCCTGATGGGTGGGGTGGAGGCTCAGCTCTCCATTGAACCACACTGCAACAACTCTGGTGCAGGAACCAGAGTGCTCCCTGCTTGTGAAGGGCAGGAGTTGGGTGGATGCATGATCCACTCCTTACCTGTTCCCTCTGAAACAAAAGTCATGTGTCATCAGTGTAAACTTGATCTGTGGTTTCATTAGTGTTTGGCTGGAGAGGTGTGTATACTGCCAGAAAGGTTTTCTTTTGTTAGGAATCTCTTTTCTTATACTTTGGCTAAGAAGCATCGAGTTTTCTTGGAGCTTTTTTTGTCTGTGCTTATTGGTGGTTATGGACTGGAGGTTCCTGTAGTGCCCTGTCTGAGCTATGCGGGAGGCAAGGAGAAAACATAGGGAACTCATTGCCATGTCATTTCTTAAGTCCCAAGATAAGTCTGCCTTCCAGTTTTCACTATTCATGCTTATGTATTGTATTCAATTCAGGGTTTTAGTGGTAAGTGAAGAGACCTGGGAGAAATGCAGCTACTCCACCTTATCAGAACCAGAATTATGGAGGTCTGTTGATGTTAAAAAGTGTTGTTGGCTATAAATTGAAGTTTGACAATATACACCAGACACTTTAGGAATTATTCAGCTAGACAAATGGATTCCCAAGGGTTAGGAAAGTTATTAGAATTTGATTTTCACACTTTTAGAAGTCAAGTGTTCTACTGAAGGTGAAATCTATAGATAAGGCTAGACCATTCATGAGGTAATAGACGAGAGCTGGAGACACTAATATAAACTCATGCTTAGCTTAATGTACATATGCATAGCAACATACAGAAAAAGTTATAGATATGTGTATACACATTGCTAGTATACATACACATATCCCTTCACTCAGTCAGCTAAGACAACCTAGAAACAAAGACACCTCAGTAGCAATGAGCACACATAGCACCCAGATCTCAGTGC